ATTTTATTTATTTATATTTTCCAGAAAAATTTTTCTTATTTATTTTTTTTTTTAATATAACACCGTGCGACAAAAACAAAACAAATTTCAAAACACACGAAAGAATCGATATACTCACGGAACATTAGTTAAACTGCGTTTTTAATTTTTCGCTCTGACGTCAGGTGTTTGTTTTTTTAAAGGACTTTGAAATTGATTATTAATTGAAAAAAATTATTTAAAAAATCAGTGCAATGTAGAATACCAATATGGGTACCAAATGAGAGAGAAAATTCGGTAGAATTTAAAACGGATAAAGTTTTTTGGTTTACCAGGACGAATGGGTATTAAAAATGCGCTTTTAATAAATTTTATAATTTTAAGTTAAAAAAGTTTGCAGGACGAAATTCGATGAAGAGGTCGTGCGTATATTAGTCCTCAAACAATATTTTCTAAAAAAAAAAAAATAAAATTATTGCACAAAATTTTTAAAGGCCTTTTTCCATACCCATTCGTCCTTATGCACCCAAAAATATATTCTGTTATAATTCTACAGAATTTTTGGTTTTATATGATACCTTTGCTGTCATCACCGAGTTTTTTAAATAATTTTTTGAAATAATCATATTTTTCAATTTCAAAGTCGTTTTAAACAAATTTTAACGTCAGAGAGAAAAACTGAGCATGCAGTTTTACTATAATATACCCGTAGTTTCGGTAATATATTAATATTTTTTGTGTGGAAAATTTACTGCCACACGGTGTAATTCCACAGCAAAACCTAAAACAAATTTTCTTTTAATTTCATACAGAACTCGGGAAAATGCAAGAAATTTTCATCAAAATTTAAAATATTTTAATTTGTTTACTTAGAGCAGAGGTCCCCAAACTTATTTTTCTCGTAAACCCCTTTCAAAACTTTGCTGGTTCGGTGGACCCCCTGATGCTCATTTCTAACATATTCCCAAAGCACATCAAAAAATGTGAAGATTAAATCTAACGATGTAATTTTGCATCTCGGGTGAGTACAAAACCGAATTCGGAGTGGTAAAAATAAAAATAAAATATTTTCTTGTGTTCTATTTATTAAAATAATGTGATTACACACTTGCAAGTTTTAAAAAATAAAGCTCGTAAAGCCGTGGAAGAACTATTTCGCTGTGAGGAGTTATATTTTTTAAGAGCACTAAGAAAACTCCTCACATGTTCGGCTCACTCATGAATTTGCATGTTTTGTATTTGTCAAATGTTTTATCGCTCCGAGTTTTAAAGTGATGCGAAAAATATTCGTCACTCGCATTTTTAAAACACAAAACTTTAAACAACAGGACTGCAAAGCTTTTTAAGCCAAACTTCAAATTCAGAAACTAACAAAAAAGAAAAGACCGAATCTAGATAAATCGATGATAAACAAACAAGGAAGCAAGAAGCTCAAGAAGTGTTCCACCGTTTCATCCTCTTCAAAGCAGGATGGGCAAATGGAGTTGTCATTTACGCCTATCACAGTCAGGTGTTTGTGCCACGTACCCCTTTCACTCCAACGTAGACCCCTGTCGAGACCTGGACCAGAAAAAGCAAAAAATACCAAGGAGTTTTCACCAAAATATTTAATTTTTGATTCGATTTCTTTGAAAAACTTTTAGTATGCAGTTTTGTAGCCAATAAATTTTAGTTTAATAAAGTCGTAAAAATTACACTTGATTTTTGAGATTTTATGTCGAAGGTGTTGCACATTTTTTTCCAAATAACGCATGAACTAAATCTATTTTTATAAAAATTGAATGGGCTACAAAAGTGCATACTCAAAATTTTTCTAAAAAATCGAATTGAAAAGTTTAAAATTTTGATGCAAATTTCTTGGTATTTCTTGCATTTTCCGAGTTCTGTATGAAATGCACTATATTTTATAAAAAAATAGCAATCACCCAGCGTGCGCCTTAAAAGTCTTTTTGTGTTGTTACTCCCTCCCAAAACTCTTCTGGCTTCATTCATAAAAAAAAATAAAATAGATTTACAGAGCTTGTTTAAGTGAGTTTTTCACACAAATTTTCGATTTAAGAAACACACTTTATTTTTTATTAACGTATTTTTGAGGGTAATTAAATTTAGGAAATTTAATTTATACCCCTATAACTCGTTTCTACATATCGAGCACTTTCTTTAAAGGTATATTAATTCAGTAATTACCATATTTTATCGGCGGTCAACTTTCTTAACCCTCTTTTATTGTAATATTTCATTTATTTTATCAATTTAATGATTGAATAACATTTTTCAAACAGGTGGCAACCATCCTCAAAAATATTTTTGGCAGTAAACTTTCCTAAACCTCTTTAGTTTGATACACATATTGCAATGATTAATTTATCTTATTAATAAAATCAAATTGAAATTTTCAAACAGGTGGTAGCCTTCCACAAAATTTTTTTCCGACTCTAAGCCTTCTTAAACCTCTTTCTTTTGACAGCCATATTCGATATTTGCTTTATCTTATTAATTTGCTTAAACTTCAATTTTCAAAAAGTGGCAACTCTCTAATTTTTTTTAAGTTACACTTTTAGCAATGCATCGGTGAAAACTGCATTACATTCCATGCATTAGTTTTCAAGTGATGCGCGTACAGACAGACATACAAAAATTTAAAAAACTGTTGTTTTGGTTTCTGTTGCTCTAATATGTAATAATGTAAGTATGAAGTGCATGGCTTTAAGTTGACTGCTGCAAATTGTCTTCCATCATAAACCGACAACCAAGCAACAGCTTTGCCTTGGCATTGTATTGCCAATGCGGTTGTAGAAGCCAACCGATTGACGCACCGAACAAACACTTGTGGTTTATGGCGGAAGCAAAATCTGTTTATGATGATGATGCACATATGGATAGTTGGATAGTAACCAAATGTGTAGGAATGGGTGTATGTACGTATTTCCGTGCAAATTTGCCATGGCTCTGCAGCAATTTTTCGAACATTCTTCAGCACAATGAGAATGTTGCGGTTACTATTCAAAAGAAAATCCAATTAGAACTCTCTCTCTCTCATTACAGAATATGTATGTATTTTAAAAAGTACCAATTAAGTTTTGTATTTTAGTTTTTATAACTGAAGTAAATAAAAAGTTTGCTATTATTTTTTAGTAGCAAATGATCGACATTAAAAGTGTGATCGAAGCTGAACATTTGAAAACACATTTGCATGTCTGGCTGTAGCTGTTATTTGTTAGGTTCCAGCAGGTTCGGGTTCGAATGCCGTCAAAGGCAATACATAATTTTTATAGTTTTATTTTTAAATTACGAAAAAGCATCTGTGAAGTGAAGGACAAAATCGAAAGACGAAGAAAATTTATACAAGTTGAACATTTCACTTAACTAATGATCGTTAGATCAGTTAATTAATGTTTCCACTCAGAGTCAAAAATTATGAAATGAAAAATTTAAGTATGGCCGCAGCTGCGACCCTTATTGTGGCATCACTCACTTTTTTCGTTCAGTTTGAAATCAAATATATAAATAAGTACTTGAGTGAGCAGAGCCATGGCGTGCCATTCGAGAGATTCGACTAATTTTATTTAGTTTTTTTCTTTTTTAATCAAATTTTCTTCTGATTTGTAGAATTTATTCTTTTAAAAAGGAAACAGTTTTTTTTATTTCATTTAAAAATAATAAAACCTCTAACAGGCTAATTCTGGCATCTGTCTTTCAACTCATCTCAGTCTTCCGAAAGACAAAAGTCTTTATATTCCGGCAACTATCTTCAAAGCTCTTTTCGGTATTTCGGATGACTTAATAATTGAAAGATCTGCTAACGAGGAGGGTGGCGTTATTCTATTTATCGTTAACAATACGTTTTCTAAAAAGTAAACGAAATTAAAAAAATATTTTTTTTTAAAACAAGAAACCTAAAAAATTGTCAAAATGAAAGTAAAAAATGAAAAAAGCTTAATTATAAAAGTTTCTACACATTAAATAAATTAAAAAATATTAATTTTTTAAACAATAAAACTTAGAAATTAAAAGAAGAATTAAAAAAAAAATTCCATTGCCGAGGATTGAACTCGGATCTCTCGAATGGCACGAAAGTGCTCTGCTCACTGGGCCATTGCCACTATTACAGCAACGTTATCGAAATTGAAATTTATTGCAAACAAAAAATTTCAAAATCATGCGTTAAAGAGTTCAGTAAAGGTTTTTCTTTACTTAACTTTAATGTTCATTAAATGCCGCTAACGAATCATTAACTGACTTTGAGCGGTAATTTCTTCAAATCGTTACTAAGGAACACCTTAAGTAATCATAAAACGACCCTGAGTGCGGCTGTGAGTGTGCAGAGATGATTGCTGTTATTTGATAACTTTCAGATGATGCGGGTTCAATTAATGTAATTAATAAAAGTAGTGAAAATTACAAAATTATTTTATGGACCTTTAAGATTAATAAACTAATCAATAAACCTTTACGACGCCTTGGTTGGCGTCCATACATGTACAAGTTTTTTGTTGATCATAAAGTTCTCTAAGTACGTCCAGCAGACTGAAATGTGAGGAAGCATAGAATTGTGAGACCTACAATGTAAAGGGTTTATTTTGGTTCACACTGCACTTGTTCTCAGAATCATTTTTTTTTGCATAAATTCGATTTTGTGATTTATGGAATTTTTCTTTAAAAATATTTTGATTAATTTACTGAATATAAAACTAAAATTTTTATAATAAAAGCCAAAAGTTCTCTATTTTTAGGTCATACTTGAATTTGACTTTTAGACATACATTTTTTTTCGTTTTATATGTATATATTTTTTACTATTAACGAACAAGAATTTGTATGCAAGAATAAACAGTTTTCAGTAATCTATGAAAATTACCTAATTAACCGATTTTTAGTCGAAACAAGTACAATAACCGTTAATTTTTTATCTCTGCCCTAAAAATTTTCCTAACAACTTCTGATCATCGATACACAAAAAATTATCTTAAAATATTGATTCCTATGCTAAATAAATAAGTATGTTATGTGCAAGTACTCACTTTGGCCTTGACGTCAGACTAGGATCTGATGTTTTGCGTCGACTATTGCGATTGCGTTTTTGCGATAAACGCTCCTTGTACGATTCGGAGCGATTAACAGAGACGGGGGCGCTTTTATTCTGATGATGTTGATGTAAACTGTACACGCGTCAATTCCAAGTTCGAAATTGTGTATTTATAGTGATGTGATTTGTTTTGCACCACGCGCATTTAGCGGAAAAGGCATGCAAATTCAAATCAAATTAGTTTATGGCAATAAAAGCACAAAAAAATAAATAAAAATCAAAAATAAAACACAAAAACTACTCACCGTTCTCGGCGTGCATCCTTCCCTTCTGCTGCGTCCTGCGCATTCGCATCGGCGGCAGCTGTACCTCCCATGTCGGCCACTTCGCCTGACAACGGTACATTGGATTCGCGTGTGCCGCGTCCCAATGCGCCTTTGCCGACAATGCCAGCGCCTGTTTCGCCGCCCGAACCGCCGGCTGGGTATGCAGCGCTCGATGGCAAACGTAGCTGTACATCGTCTGTGTTGTCGGCGGACGTTGTGGCGGCGGCATTGCCGTTGGAGCGCAGCGCTTGGTTGCCTGCATCCGGTCTGCGATCGGAGGGTTGCCGCACTATTGATGATGCGTGCAAGCGTTCTGTAAATGGAATGAGAGCGGAAAGTGAGATGATGAAAAAATGATTAGTTAGGCGATCAAGAGTTGGAATCGTAAGATATTTGGAATTTAAAGAAAAAATCAATCACTATTGTATATATGTAAATAAACATGTAATATTTTAAAAGATCTGTATTAAGGCTAGTAGTTGATAGCGTATGCCATACAAGTATGTCTTCAAAAAATTATTATATATGAACAAATTAGTTGTTAAATTTTTCGACAAAAGCGCGTTTTTGGTCGAAAATGGTGGCACACTTATCTTTGATAATGCATTATCTTAAGATTTAAATATAGAACAATATTTCATCGCGATATTGTATTTAAATGAAAACTTAAAAAAGATATAGTAAAAAAGTAAAATAACATATATCCATAGTAGTGCATGTAACGTAAACCCTCCCTAGCATCATACATAACTAGCCAGCCAACACGTTTACACGCACGCCTTTACTTTAAAGTCATATTATTTAAAAGTAATTAATTATTGGCGTGGAAGATTTTTGCACAGTATTCCTTATGCACATACATATTACCTTCCTAATGTACAAAACGATTTTAGAATGAATTTCGAGTGTGCCAACAAAAATTAAAAGAAATAGAATTTTGCCATTTTTTAATTTGGGGGCTTCACGGATATGTTGTATATGATGCCAATGTTCATTGCCTCTAATATGAACATCCTATTTGAAAACTTTTGAAAGTTATTGAAATAATCAATTATGACTTTTTCGAGTGACAATGAAAAAATTAGTAATTTCGGAACTTTTTTGCCTAAATAAACGTTCTAAGACTAAAATTGTTCAAATAATTGATTTATTTTTTATTGCACTTGCTTCTGTAACTCCATCGATTGAACTATATGCAAGAAAAATGCTTTTGCGTTTTTTCTTTTAGCGAGAGAAGGAAGTGCAAGAAAAAAACAACACGTGAGATTTGCTCATATACAATTCTACTCGGATATTCTCTAGAATAAAAAAAATGGTGCAACCCATTTCAAGTGACATCCCAGTAAGGAAATTAGAAACTCTAAGAGACTCTATTGGGTTTAATCATATGTAGTCGCCAGTAGCCTACCGACCTTTCTGCTAAATATGATGAAAATGATCGCGGATTTGCTCTTAGCAGTCTTTTTTTTTTTAAGGAAACACCCTTCCATTGACGGCGAAATACGGCTACGAACTAAGCAGATGTACAGAGCCCGCACGCTGCAATCACTGAATGTTGCAGTCGTAATGGTTTAAAGGTCGATCCGCGAAAATTAGTGCCGAAAGCTTCTTCAGAAAAAGGAAAGCGGACTGACTAATTGAATAATTTTTTCATGAAGTCGAGATACCTTTCTCCAAAGAAGTTAAATTTCTTTCGATAACGAGCTGTTGTGGAACTCACACCTGAATAAAGTTGTGCCAAAGACAGGGAGCTCGGTATAGATCAGCCGACTTAATTGAGGGATAAAATACAAAAGAGTAGCCTTCTGGTGGGTAAACACGAAAGTCGAATCCAAAGGCTGGTCTTGCTGAGGTATCTGCGGTGCTTAGATGTTAAAAAATTAGTTCAATTACAGTTTAGTACGCCGGGAAGAAGGGCTTTGCGCCGTTCTGACGTTCATTTTCTAAAGGCTCCTTTTAGGATTTATTTTCAAACAGATTCATTTCAGAAACGAAGTGACCTAAAACCCGGGAAACCAGTTATATCTGGAACACCGACAGCTCCAAAACTCATTGGCGGTCGGAGCAGAGTTCTATCGATTACAGAAAAGAGAGCTCGCACATCCATGTACTCTTGGGCAGCTGGCTTGATCACTGTTCCTTGTTAGCACATGAACCAAACCTTATTAAACATTACGTTAGACAGTTTTTATTACTAGCCATTGCGAAATATTGAAGGAGTTTGCAGAAGAGTAAACAGAAGAGCTGAAAATGTGCCACTGTGAAGTTCCAACTAGAATTCGGTGTTGCAATAAATAAACTAGGCTTGCAATGATTAGGTGACTTGCTCCGTTCTCTGACAACAATGTAATCTCAAAACACCTATCTATGCAAGATTTCGGGACTCCAAGCTGAGGCCGAATATTCGACACTTGATAAATAAATCATGCTTGTTACTTACTAACTAATTTTATTTTTTAGTTTTTGCTCACCAACACTTAATTGCTTGTAGAATTCTGCACGCTTTCCAGCGCCCGCGCTTGCACTTCCACCTATACCGCCACTAACACCAACACCTCCTTCGCTGGCCGTCGTCAACGATACCTGACCCTTGCGTTGCTTCTTGGCCACTTTGCTAGCTGCCGCAGCCGCTGCAGCTGCGACCGCTCTCCGATTCCGATAGTTATTCGTTTTCTCATTAATCTTGGCCGCAACTCTCGAGGTGAGAGATGGGGAAGATGATTTGCGCTTTATGACTGTTGTTTGTGTCCCCGTCTCATCAGTCGTTACAAAACCTGGCGGCGATAATAAATTCGATGTGGATGAAGTTGAGCCGGAAGTATTGGAATTGGGCGGCGATGTATCCATGCCACTTACGCTACCACCACGGCTACTACCGCCGCCGCCGCCGCCAGCGTAACTACTGCTGCTGGCAGCTCTGGCTCTCTCCTCGCGTTCCAACTCGTCGCATGAATAGAAAGCTTCATCCTCGAAGTTACCACTGCTTTTGCTGCTCTTCGAGCTATTCGAACAGTTGCGTTTCACTTTGGCGTCCAACGCTTTCTGTGTATCCTCCTCAGCTAAGCATTTGTAGATTTCTCTATTGGTACACTCGTCCACCTCTACTGACTTCTTTTTCTGCTTTTTTTGTTTCTTCTTTTTGTCCTTGTCACCGATGCCTTTCGTGCAACTGTCGGGCGCTTCTTGACACCCGTAATTGTTGTTGTTATTCAAGTGATCGCAAAATGAATTCTTGAGATTTTGTTTCTTCACCAACACTACGTTACGCTCGGCCTTGGCGTCATGCTCCTTTGGCGCTTCAGCCACAACGCCGTCGGGCGAATATTTCAACGCAATTGGCATGGGCTTGCAGGTGGACGCCATAGAGATGACTGTGGTTGCTGCTTCCGAGATCGACTTGCGGCGCGTCAAAGTAAATTCTTCAGTATTGATGAATTTCTTGTTGTTCATCACAAACTTGACAAGCGCTTGTAAGTTAAGATTATTATGCGCGCGTGACTGCTTCTTCGCCGCCTCCTTTTCAGCGCGTTTATCCTTTTTCTTCTGCGGGCTGACGGCTTCGCCGACAGACTCCCCCATCGTGGATGCAGCCGCTGCAGCAGCCACACGCTCAGCCGCTGCCACTTTACGCGCACTACGCGAACGCTTCAAGCTCTCACGTTTCTCCAGCTCAGCCATCTTCGTCTTAGAAGAACTCTTCTCGACGCGGTTATGCTTGTATTTCGGATCGGTAAGCAGTATCTTCTTCTCTTTACCATTGACACGTTTGGGCGATAAATTTTCTTCCTCAGCATCACTGCTTTCGTCATCCGTATCGGTAGAGTCTGTGTCCTCGTCAGCATCGGTATCCTCATCATCAGTGTATGCGACGACGTTTGTGGTAGACTTCATCTTCGTGCTCTTCGGTGTGAACTCACTTAAAGCCGATAGCGCGCTTAAAGCCGGTGGCGCTTCAGCGCTCTCGAGTGAACCTTGCCGGCGCGCTGAGGAGGAAGTAAACTTGTAGAACTTGCGCTTTGGTGGATCAGTTTTGATGGACTTGAGCGTAGTTTTCTTGTGCTCCGGCTTAGGGTCGCTGAGCAATAGCAGCGTGGTGGTCTCACCCTCTGGTCCATTCAACAAAATATTGACTTCGTTTTTATGCAGCGTTTTTTGGTTGCCGTTGGTCACATTATCAGTAGCCGACAGACGCTCTTGCGTCACTTCTGTGCCGCCACGCTCCTTCTCTGCATCCTCGTCTGCCTCCTCCAATGAGGTGGATTTGTCTGCTTGCAAGATGAAATGTGGCGATTTGGAACGCTTACGTGTCGGCATCTGACCGGTGGATTTGCGTCGAAAGCTCGCACGTCGAAACTTCTCAAAACGCGATGGTTCACTGCCGCCCGAATTGGGCACCGTCAAGGAATTCGATGTATTGCTGGCGAGTGTGGGTGAGGCATCGTCTGTGGAATCTGCACCACTGCCCCCACCGCTACTGCTTCCGCCACCCGAGAGGCGGAACCACATTTTGTCGCGCAGCTTCTCCAGCGTGAGTAAGTCTTCTTACGTTTTTTTCGGCAAAGCAACCACAATATACAAGATTTTAATAATTTTTTTGGTGTTTTATTTTTATTGCACTGCAATTTTATTTCACACTAACACTTTTGTATGTAGTTTGTTTATGTATGTATGTAACACATATGTTTTAACATTTAACGCTAAGCGCGTTCTGTAAAAAAAATTTATTCTACAGCGGCATCGGTCGTATCACTGCTTTTGGCGGCGTTCATCCCCTTCTTATGTTGCACTGTAAGTAATTTTATCAACCGTAAGCATTTACTTCAATTGTCTCTGTAGTTGTGCTGAAGTTTGTGAATTTTGCGATTTTCGTAAATTTTGCGTGATTTCGTATCGTTTTATTTTTCGTATTAATTTTGAGTTCGTTACAAGTGCGCTCGACCAAATACATTTCCTAAAGATCAAATAAGTTCAATGAAAAATTCAAATGGAAATTTTCGCGTCTAAAGAAGTCGAGTAGCACGTCGCGTCCGTTCACTTTGTCGCCGCGTTTTCGTGTGTGCGATGTTGTTGGCAATTTGGGCTGCACTGAAATAGGTTTTTGGCAAACCAATTTTATTTTGGTAATTTAAATTGTAGCGAAAATGCCATTAAATTGCAGAAGCCATGTTTTGAAAATATTTGAAAAAAAAAGAAATGGCGGAAAAGGAGGGCAGGAAGGAAGGAATATTTGGAAAAAAAAGAAATGGCGGAAAAGGAGGGCAGGAAGGAAGGTTACGAAAAGTTGAGAGTATACGTACGATTGTGTGTCATAAATGTAAGTGGTCAGAAGTGCAGAGAGATAAACGATTATGAGAGAGACGAAAGCTAAATACAAGAAAACAAAAAGAGAGAAAGAACCAACGTAAACACTTCTCATTGCCAATTTTTAGCTAACTTTTTAATAATAATGTGACTGATAATTACTGAGGTGGTAGATCAAGGCTTGTGAAAAAACTTTGGAAAAAATTTACATGCGGCAAGGCAATAAAAGGAGAATCTACGAGAAAAAATGGCTCCATATTAAGAAATAGATTTTCATACTTAAAAAACAGTTGGGCTATCAAGTTATATAGTAAAAAAATATGATTCTCTAGTGTATTTTGTTAACCAGATAACCAGACAGGTGTGAATACTCCAAAAGTCATTGTACTTAGCGCATAAGAGTCAGTGATATGAAAGAGATCGTTGGCCTAACTTAAACCCTTTCAAAGCCCGGATATTAAAGGTATACTAATTAAGGCATATGTTTTAGATTATGATTTGTTGGGAGCTATATACAAATAAATAACCGTAGTTTGACGGCAAAAACATAGACAATTTTTTATCATTTCTTGTAAAAGAGATATGTAATTAGGGTGGTCCTTAAAAATATGAACATCATGGGGAAACTCTTTATTTTGTGTGTTTACGTGCAAAATAAAGACATCCACGAAAGTTTCAAAATTTGAAAAAAAGGGGTCGCTACCAGCGTTTGAAAACATTTGTGTTTTTTATCGTAAAAATTCGATCACATCTTGACTTTTAACAGCTGTAACTCAGCGAGCTTATGAATTTGTATAAATAAGTTTCAATAGTATATCAAATTTACCAAATTTCTAGTGAAAATTTTGTAAAATGTTTGCGATTTAAAAAATTTAATTTTTCAAAGACTGGTATTCACCACAAAAATTGGTTTCAAATTTGGAAATTTTCGTGAAGATCTTGATTTTGTACGTAGAGCGAAATAAAGGGGTGTCCTATATAAAATGTAAATGTTGATATTTTACGGACTATCCTAATGTATGTACATATACTGACGGGAGAGATAATATAAACCTGTTACTTTGATCTGTTTTGGATGCCTTGATTTTGTACTTATAACAAAATAACGGGATGCCCCATATAAAATTTAGATGTTGACATATTAATTACCGTAATTTACATACACTGAAGGAGGAAATAATAGAAACGCGTTACTTTGATCATCTATATTTATAATTGTTATTCAGAATATTTAGAAAAAAATGTAGGTATGAGTTTTATAGCCTTTTAATTTTAGTAAAGTGCGAGTTTCAAGTGCCTTCAAAATAATTTTGATTTTTAATGCTTTTTTTTGCTGAAGGGTTTCTTCTTTATATGAAATCTGTATACATACATCACTGGATAAATTAATACTTCAAAATTTTCCAAGCTATGTGCCTTACAGAAGCTTTTTACAAATATCTCAGGTATTTAATTTGTAAATTCTCAAAAATAATTATTTTAGTTTTACAGAAAACCCACTCAAAAAACAATTGCACAACGTTCAACGGCCATAGAAATTCACACACGGACGACGCTCAAAAAAAGTGAACCGCAGGCCAAAATTGCAATTAATAAAGAATATTTATTTGATGGAACGTGCGTTATTCGTTTCGTAGTTTCGTATAGACTAAAGTGGTTAAACACTTTTTTTGCGCAAAACGCCTATTAACAGTTGCTTTCATTAAAAATAAAAAAAAAACTTCAGAAAATATTCACAATCGAACCGAATTGGCGATAAGATGGACGGAATCAGTGTTGCCACAAAATTTTTTATTTTTTACCAAAATCACCGGAAAAAGTTATCGAATTCAACAAAAAATTACCAAACTTATTTTATGTGCAGAACTGTACAAACATACATATCGATGCCTTTCTGCATCAAAAAGAAAATTTTGAAAAAAATGTCGCTTACGTTATTTTGGCAGTTAGGGCTCGATATGTCTGTACATATGTATATCCGCAGATACCAAGCTTTTCAGGCAATCAGCGCTCCATTAACCATAAATGTTTACGAAAGTTTGTTGATTTTTTTAACTATTGAACAAAGTTTGAAATTTGATTTTTTTTTTGAGTTCTGTTAAAGAAAGAATAATAAGAAAAATAACACGTTAAAACTTATCAAAATATGGCACGGTTATAAGTTTTCAACGCTTGAAGGAAAGCTTTCGACTCACACATAGACAGAGTGAAGTCCCCCGCTGAAGGCCGTAGCTTCTTGAAGAACATACATATTTACGTAGAATTCTACTCATATATAATCTTGCCGGGTACACCGGAAAATTTATGGCAATTGAAAAGCTGAGGACCACCCAAAACCTTCCAGGAAAGGACACTTTCAAGCGGTTTGCTAAAGAACACACCATTCTAGTAGCCAAGGAACGCTGGAAAAACTTCCGCCTTGCGAAACTTTCAGGATTACGTGGTATTTCTATAATGTGGAATCAGAACCAATAGTGACCTATTTGACATGTAAGACCGAATCGAAAAAGTTACCAAATTGAAAGATAAAGAAAAAATTACCAATTTTGGTTAAAAATTCCAATGCGGCAACGCTGGACGGAATATAGAATACGATTGCGGGCAACGCTATCTATGAACGAAGAAGAAGAAGTAGAAACACACTCATTCGGCAAGAGTTAAAAATAATAAATAGCACAAAAGAATTATGAAAGCAATAAAAAATTGCATTGGGAAACAAGAGCGGTGCAGAATGCAACAAACAGACAGAGACTTTGAACGGAATCTGGGAATGTGGGAATCGGTGAAACTGATTTGACTTATATGACTTGACAATCGACGACGCTTGTGTTTGAAGCAACAAAATGCGAAAAAGATGACCAAAGCAAAAAGCAATAAAAAGCTAATATAGAACGTGTTGAAGAAAGAGTAGAAAAAAAGAGAAATAAAAACCAACAAAAATAAATAAAAAATATATGTACATAAATAAAAAAATACAAAAGAAGGCATAGATAGAAAAAATGCTATAAAGTGCGCATTCAACAAACTCAGTATACAATTTAATTGGCTTGACACTACTCAGCGCTTATATATCTATCATATACATATATGTAGTATGTAAGTATATATTCAGAAGTGCCCCAAAGCCATTTGTCATATGCTGCAGTGATGGAGCACTGTGATTGACGAGGAAAAGGTGAAGGTGTAGATTAAAGAGAGGAAAACGCCAAAAGAAGGAAATAAATAATAAACTAAATACAAATATGTAAGCAGGTATTCGCCGAAGTGGTGAATGAAGTCAGTGAGACGTTTCCATGCTTTTAGTTTTTGCAAATGATGTCATCAGTTTTGTGTTCATAGATATTTATTGCTAAGTCAAAATGAATAAATCAACTAAACAAAAACAAAAAACACACACTGGCGGAAACACAAAAGCAGACAGAATGACTATACAACAACTACAATAGAATAAACTATGTAATTGTTGAAGGTGTCAAAACACTTTGGCAGGCGCTCAACGATAAGGGGGCATTTGAGTATGAGGCACCACTTGGCTCAAATGAAATGTACAATGATTGTAAAAAATGAAGATTATTAGCTTTGTAAGCTAATGTAAATGCGCCGAGTTGACTATTGGTGGCATTAAGAGTTAAACGGTACAATGAAAACAATAAACACAAAAATAATTTTTTAAATATTTACATTAAACCATCGCACAGTGGGCCAAAACTGGCATTTATTGTCCCCCTAGAATGGTAAACATATTTTTTAGCCCTTTAATCGGTAAACATCGCCTATGAGGCGGATTTTATAAAAAACTCATATTTCACCATTATAAAAACAAAAATTTATTAAAACAAAGACCAAAAGCAAAAACGTATATACTTATTATAATTTTGGTAACAAAAATAAACAAAAAAGTATTAATTTTTATAGTGTTTAATATACACTATTACAGTCATATTAGCAAACCACATTTTCGAATGGGTGGTAAACAGAGATCGTTTGAAAAAAAATCCTTTCGAGAAATTTTTGTAAAACTTCTCTAACTTATAGATTTTAGATTAAATTAACACATTTATATAGAATATAAGAATTAAAAAGAAATTGTTTAAGACACATTTGCGATAGCAATTACCGAGTATATTTGATATTTTCAAAATCTGGGGATTTCCCTGAAAACATTATACTTTTCCCGGTAAAAAAAGTACACACAGAGTCATAAAGAAAAATGGTTTAGATAAGTTCGTTATATGAAGGTTGAAAACGTTTCAAAAGTTGTTCGTTATGAAGAAATATCCACAAAATACACTAAAGCCAGAACGAAAAAGCAACATTCTTAAGAATACGAAACAAACAAACAAACACGTATTTTTTGTTGCGTCGAAATCATCTGAACAAAATTTCGTTCGAATACGCATGCATAATAACCGTAGCCTTATTCGGAAGTTTGACTATACATATTTTTAAAAACAATTTAATTCCGATAATGTATAAATAAAGAAATTTTGAATAGGGATGCCACATTAATATACAGTCAGCGTTAAAAATACGCATACCCGGACATTTTGAGGATTATATTTATTTACATTTTTTCTTATTCATTTTATTAAAAATTTTGTGAATTCAATAGCAAAAAACCGCAATAATCAAATTCTCTAATTTCATACAGAGCTCGGGAAAATG